CATTCATCTCTTGTCACTTCACTTTGTACAAATAGTCTTTATACATTTAGCATTATTGTTATATATATTCAATTTTTTGTACAAACTTTCTAAAATTTTTAACATGTTGTTTACAGCCAGCCAACGATTACTAAACCAATGTAAAAATTAAAATCAGTTACTAATCATCAACGTTTTAATCCGTACATTAAAATTTTCATGACGTCAATAAAAGAAAAACTCAAATCAGTTATTAGTCGTTAACTTTTAATCCGTACATTAAAAATTTCAAGACGTTAACAGAGGAGGATAAATATAAAAAATTTATTTAGGAAATGAAAGTAGAAAGGCAAAGTGAGGAAGTGAAAAAACAAGGGCAAAGACAAGAAAGATGATGAGAGGTAAGAGTAGAGGTAGGAGGGGGGTTGTAGTTCATGGAAGTGTCCTATCATTCTGCTTTCTGCACTGTAATTTAGGTTTTTCTTCCTTTTGCTATGCACGTGAAAGCTGAAAGAAACTGCATGCCTTTTCTTTAATTTTATTTTTATATTCAACTTTCGTCTCTTTGGATAGCTGGTGGTGGGGCATGCCCATGACACTCCTCTTGGCAATTTCCTGGAAAATTCAATGGGTTTAAGAAAAAACCACAAATTTTCTCAGAAGTCTATACAAATTTACTCAATTTGATTGTTTTGCTTGGATAGTGAAAGCTTCCACTGTTTCTTTTTTCTTTTTTTCTCATCTATCAAATGAATATATGCTATATGCTATGTTACTAGGGTATTTTTACCCCTCTAGATGATTGGATTACGATAACTCCAATCATCGTGACGAGATAACATTATTTTGACATTATGCTATGTTATCCAATCATATGAATGAATCACGACTTGATGGTTCAATTATCGTGATGGGATAGCATTATCTCGATCGAAAATTATTCAATCGTGGGGATGAGATGGCATTATCTTGATTTTGAGATGAACGGTGAACCTCATATATGTATAATCACCTGCGAACCACATAATTTTTCAATTAATCAAGATTTTCCGTTTTCGTTCATTTAAACATTATGTAATCTAAAAAACGATTGATAAAAATCAATAATACAATTATCATTACTCTATTTTGACCTAATTAGAAAGCATTCTTTTTAGTGCATTATTTTACTGATTTTCACAAGTTCAAAAGTCCAAAATCTCTGAATTTGCATCAGTACATTTTTGTAGTCTTCTTCTTCTTCTCCTTCTAAATCTTCATAAATACTCATCAAATCTATTGACCAAAATCCTCCCACAACTTTTCCAAGTTTCTTCCACACCTCCATGAAGACTCAAACTCTGGCTTGGCCTGCAAAATCAGAAAGTTTCAGAACAGACGTCATAAATGGCACCAATTAATGACCCTATCTACAAACAATATATTAAAGAAAAACAAAGTGACAAAATGTAGAAATTTTCTGATGACCTAAAATCTCATTTATTGCTCTTCTTTTTTCTCTGCAGTTTTTCTGAGTGTTTATGACTTGAGATAAAAGAGCAGTTTCTTTCAGTTGGTAACAAGTCTATTTCAATTGAACCCAAGAAATTAAAATGCCATAACTTCAGATTTAAAAGTGTCTCTATCCAAGCATTTAAACAACTACTCTTGTGATTTCTATTACTCTATTGGAGAAGTGCTTTTGCTTGAGAAATCCCAAAACTTCTAACAGTAGAAAAATGATAGTTATTTTCATTTATGAACTGATCTAACATTCACAGCTGTAGAGAAATTTAAAGTGGTGGTGGACTGGTGCTAATTTTGTTTCTTTCCTGTGAGTACAGAGAATTAAATGTGAAAAAGAAGTGTTGAGAAAGTGAATTTTGATCAAAAGAATTAAATCTTATACACCAGCCACTAGATTTCAAATCAAATTAGCTGGTTGAATCACTGGAACATAGGTCAAATGCTAATGTGAGCGGGTTTTAACTAGTTCAATTGGTCGAATTTTGAGATTGAATCCCGCTTACAATAGCAAACGAAAAGGAAACCAGTTTTTCTAAAATAATTTAAAGATATAATAAGTTTCCTCTATCTTAATATTTTTTGAGTAGCTAGTTTTATGCAAATAGGCAGGCAGTGCCGACAATAAATGGAGACAAAGGAAAATACAAAACAAACAATAAAATCGATTGCAATGTAATTTAAGTAAAAACATTCAATTCTAGCAAGGCAAAGTCAGTAGTATATGGTATTCAAATGAATTCAAAATCATATTTTTATATGTCATAAAACTCAAAGAGGACATACCTATTTTCTTTGGGAAGGATGAGAAGCACATGTAGATGTCACACAACTGCTCATTGGTCCTGTAATTTGTCATATGCTAGTTGTGAGACCAGAAATGCATCCGCGCACACAGCAAAAGACATTATTAACCTTGTGTGACAACAGAAACCTGAAATGGCTGGAAGCAATCACCAAGTATACAGTCAGCGATACAATACACGGAGAAGCTTGATGCATTTTGTCCATTTCTGAATCCAAGTACCAACGAAGTGAGCAAATTTCATTATGAGGTTCACAACTTAGTGGTATTTCATCAACAGAAAAATAACTTGAGATGTGACAGGAAATTGGAAAATCAGTCTAGATAATCCATCATGGAGAAGAAAAACCCGGCATTTTTCTGGAAAACTTCTGCTATAATGCTGGAGAAGACACTGTCACAAGAAATGCACATACATTTCCAAAACGGCACTTCACATGGAAAATGTTGTTCCCTAAAACTCATTTTACTAAACAAATCCATGTCTCTTGAAGTCAACAGATTGCATCCCTAGTTCAAGCCAAAATGTTTACGTAGTGAAATCTGAATTAACTATAAAAGCAGTTCAACTCACGATAAAATGTCTCTCAGAACAATGACCACCATGTTTGCTTGAAAAAGACCTACCGCTTGAAAAACACAAACACAGACTGAAGGCAATTCAGTATTTCAGAAATAGCAACTCATTGGAGTAAAAGTTCAGCAGCTTAAGGCTGCCTTTGAGGACCTTTCATTAGATTCATCTCTGTTAATGTTGATAATATTCATATATCTTCCACCAGCCACTAACTATTGCAATAACAAATGAGTTTTATTCCGACATGAATGCATTAGAGAATGAGTAAACATATGATTATTAAACAATGAAACTTGGCAAAACTTGAGCCATATGATTGGCAGAAAGAAACATCACATTCTTACAAGTGCTCAAGTAGTTCACACAATTCCTATAATAAAATCATGATAGTGAAAGTTAATTGTCTACAAACACGTATCAGAAGTGTACATACATAAGAACTGCTTGGGGAGGCCAAGTAGCACCTTGCAATAAACCTTTAACCACACTCATATGTAAAGTTCAAGACTTCAAGTACCAACTTCATATTCTATCACAGAACACAAAAATCAGAAAGATTTTAAGAATTCAAAAACTAAAAGGGGCTAATAAATCGTTCATCAATGTTATAATTTGTCAGAATATAGTTTATTGCAAGGCAATGCTACCCACTGCAGGATATCGTATAATAGTCTTAAGGAGCAACTGCAAAGCCACCAAAATAATAATATAAATTTGTCTAAAGGACAAAAGGTGAACCAAAATCAGAATATTCAGCATCACTAGGAGATCATGATACTTCTCTTTGGCAGGGGACAACTTATAGTTACCAAACTTTCTTCCGTTTACAATCATTTCATCTAAATCTGAGTGGATGCCGACAAAATACTAAAGAAACACCTAATAGATGTACAATGCATAACTCTTATATAAAAACCTCTACAACCATCAACAATCTAGACAAACTGTAGATGGGCAAAAGCCCAAGGACAAGACTATGGCTTCTTTGTAATCAAAGATTGAAAAGTAAAGGTTTAACACAAAATCCAATTTGCTTCTAACCATAACACGAAACAACTTTGATTCCCTTATGAGCAGTAGGAAAACATCAGCATTCTGCTAAAAAGTTTGCAATTGAATACCCATTTGCTCATTGTAACCTTTGGATGCGGCAGAGGCACAAATAGTGACTAATGGTGCAGGAAGGTGACCATGTTTGATTGATAGTCAAGCATTGTAGTCAGTAACCATAGCACTCGTTGAATATGGGTATTTAATGGCCAAAGACAGAACAAGAAGACATCAAGCAAGATTTGCAATCCTTTTTGTTTTCAGTTACATATAATGCATATGACCATCTGGTCAAATGAGATGCTGCTGTAATGCCTTAGTACAACAAGATGAAGACTTCATCATGCTTAGCAAAATAAACAACTGCCTTCATGAAAAAGAAACAAAAAGTTAAGATAAACTATCTTTTTCACAGCAGAAGACATACAAATAATAAATGAAAAACAAAAAAGAGGTAAGAATTTGATCTTCACGGAGGATCCATGATTCATGATGTAGTAATAGCTAATGGCTGGTGAAAGAGGGGAATGTAATACAGAACAGAATGACATAAAATAGCTAAAAACAAAGTCCACAGGTCATTACTATTCAAATTATAAGCCTTTATATGACTTCAGCATCCATTTGTGCCTACGAGATATACATACTACACCATTCTTCCAACAGTTCGGGAAAAAGCAAAGTAGTCTAAAAGGAACTTTCTCATATAACACCACCCAAAAACTGCAATGCATTGGTTTAGTAAGCATAAAACCTATATGACACACCAAAACCAAAAACCCAGTGTTGAATTTGAGACATACCACACCCTATTGACAATAGAGAAGTCTGAAAACAAGAAATTAAACATTAGCCAGATATTAAGCGCATCAGTTTAGTAAGCATAAAACCTATATGACACACCAAAACCAAAAACCCAGTGTTGAATTTGAGACATACCACACCCTATTGACTATAGAGAAGTCTGAAAACAAGAAACATTAAACATTAGCCAGATATTAAGCGCATCATATAAGTAAGATTATAAAAAATTTCTCTCATAACTTTAAGATTGCAGATCACGAAGCATCTGCAAACCACAATTACTTAACAAAAACTCAAATTTCTGTGATTAATTTCAATTAAATGGCAAGATGTATCCGACTTGTTCTACAACATCTCAATCAAGAATACAAAAAACCATAGTAGCACAACTAAAAAACTACTATTCCAACGCCAATAAGAACAAATAAGCAAAGCAACACATTCGGCTGAAAAATAGACTGAATCTGAATAAATGATCATCTTTGCTTGACAATCTCCAAGTGCCAATAATAAGTATCAACAAGGCCACCTTTAAGCTCAATTTAGGGCCTCCAACTCAACTCAGCAATTGTGATTGAATAATTTAAATTACAATAGCAACAAGTATTCAACTTGTTCTACAACAATTCAATAATGAATCACAGAACCATAATAGCACACCTCAATAATTTTTATTCCAATGCTAATAAATTAAGCAACACATTCATCAGAAATAACCTGAATCCAAATGAATGACCACCACTATCATTGCCTGACATTCTCCAAGTACCACTTATAAGTATCAACAAGTCCATCTCTAAGCTCAATCTTTGGCCTCCAGCCCACCTCCGCAAGCTTCGAACTATCCATCAACTTCCTCGGCGTCCCATCCGGCTTCGAAGTATCCCACACAAGCTCGCCCTGAAACCCCACCACCTCCTTCACCAGCTCCGCCAACTCCTTAATAGTCACCTCCTTCCCACTCCCCACATTCACATGTTCCAATCCCCCATAATTCTCCATCAAATACACACACGCGTCTGCCAAATCATCCACGTGCAAAAACTCCCTCAACGGACTCCCACTTCCCCATACCACCACTTCTTTCGCTCCTTTAACTTTAGCTTCATGAAATCTCCGCATCAGTGCGGGCAACACGTGAGAATTTTCGGGATGAAAATTATCGTTCGGTCCATACAAGTTCGTAGGCATACCCGAAATCGCGTCGAAATGATATTGAATCCGATAAGCTTGGCACATTTTAATTCCAGCGATTTTCGCCACGGCGTACCACTCATTAGTCGGTTCTAACGGGCCGGTCAACAGCGCTGATTCGGGGATCGGTTGCGGAGCGAACTTAGGGTAAATGCACGAGGAGCCGAGGAAGAGGAGTTTCTTAACGCCGTGACGGAACGAGGATTCGATGACGTTGGTCTGGATTTGGAGGTTGATTGCGATGAAATCGGCGGGGTAAGTGTTGTTGGCGTGGATGCCGCCGACTTTGGCGGCGGAAAGGATGACGTAATCCGGCTTCTCGGCGGCGAAGAAGGCGTCTACATCGGATTGGCGAGTGAGATCGAGCTCGGCGTGAGAGCGGAGGATGAGGTTAGTGAAGTTGAGGGAAACCAGTTTGCGGACGATGGCGGAGCCGACTAGGCCGCGGTGGCCGGCGACGAAGATCTTGGCGGATTTGTCGGTGAGAAAGGAGGAGTCTGTAGAGAGAGAAGAAGAAAGAGACTAAGTTAGGAAGTGAAGATCTGAGGGAATGAGAAAAGTAAGAAGATTTTCTCGGCAAGCAAACAGATAATTTAAGACAGAGAGATCTAATTACCGGTGTTTGGGGCTCCCATGAGTGAGGTGAAGACTGAAGACTGAAGATTTTCCAGACGCCAAGTGCGGTTTCCTTAGATTTGATTTTTCCCTTTTTCTTTTAATTTTTTTGAAGCTCAAAAAAGTTTATATTAACTAACTGATCATAGGAATTGGGCCCAGTTTTGAGTGGTCCAACTTAAATCTTAAGCCCAATTTACATACTTTTTCGCTTGTAAACATATTAAAGGCCTGTTTGGTTGGGTTTATCTACCTATTAAAAGAGCTTATTTAAGTTATAAGCACTTTTGAAAAAATATCTGTTTGGTTGCATTTTAAAAGTGCGTGAAGGATTTTAAATAAACTATTTTACAGTTAATTAGAGAAGCTCAAAATTTGAGATTTTTCCATAAACTCTTTTAAGCTTGTTTAGTGTGATAGAATTTCATAAATATCCTTATTCAATTTTTTAAATTTGATACTACATCTATTATTGTAAGTTAAAGCCCTTTTTGATAAATTAACACTAGAAAGCCCTTTTACATCTTCAAAACCAAATAACTATCAAATTTTTCACAAAAACTCTACTCTAATAAACTCTTCTTCCGTAAGCTTTACTCAAGTAAGTCATACTAAAATTAGCTTACTCAAGTAAGTCGTACTCAAGATGGAGATTCAAAGAACCTTCCTTTGAGAAACTAAGGAAGCTTCGTGGCAATTTACAAAAATTTGGAAACTTCAATGTCAATTCATCCGAGGAATCTGTAATTTTGAGATTGGGATAGAAGATGTGTAGGTGGAGTTTGGATGGAGAAGTAAAAGTTATTGCATGGGAAATGGCAACTTCTAGTTTATTCAAAAGCACATTGGCTTTTGATGGCTATCAGAAGGTACGTCTCCCACCACAGAATTTGATTAGTCCAAGAAGGTCTAAGTTCAATGTGTTTGGATTGTTCATGGAGGACTGAATTTTTTTATTTGGCAACGTCTCCTAGGGCTAAAGCTTGTTCATGATGCATAGATTGTATTCACTATGTGTCTTTTATTTACTCCACAACTTTACCTCTTTAAATTAGGGCTTGATCAATTGAACCGGGTCCAAAAATCACTTCCCTTAAAAGGAAAAAAATTCCAAAATCATAAAATAGCTACTAAGTTGGGCTTTTAAATTGACCCAACTCACCCTTTGGTGAACTTCCTGGGCTTCTATGCAGCCTATTATTGGGCCTATTAATATGTTCTCTATGTCTTCCAATTTTCAACTAATGGGTTGTTTGCACTTTCGTTTATAAGGTTTAAACATTAAAGTATATTCACTTACCAATAATGCTACGGACACCGAATTTTTGTATCGACTGATGTATCATTTGACTCAGACACATACATACAACACACTACCAACTATTCCATAAATGAACGACTGTCCATCAAATATGAACGAGTATTTATGATTATTAGACGATCGTTCATTTTAAATGGACTTCTATCCATATTATATGGATAAGAGTCCATTTATTATGGACCGGCGTCCATAGTTTAAATTATAAATGCATTTGAAAGTCACATATGATGGTAACTTAAACATCCTTAAACTGACAATAAATGCTCTTAAGTTAACAACTACAAAATGAAGCATGTGGATATATGCTTCTAATATGAGATTTCTACAACCAAAAGAAAAGGATAATTAAAGGATCTACAAATTCAAGAAGTCTGAATTTAAAAATCCAAATAAAAATAACTTCCAGAAGTTAGGTTCTTTTTTCAGCTCCATGAACTTCATCGTCTTTACTCATTACCACATACAGAGGGACATGATGAATGAAACGAGAAGCAGAGAATTAAACAAACATCTGATACCGGAAAGACTATCACAGTCTAGTCTTTATTCATCTTGATTTTCATTCACAGATGACAAGGGGAGGCAGCATATTTACAGTTTGTCCATAAATCATGGTAGACTGTCTATGTCTGGTGCTGACAGCTTCCAATGTCAGTTTGGGTCCATGGAAGAGAATCCCATGCAGTCCAGTTATGGTCCTAACCAAAATGGATTAAGATTGAATCATTGAAGGACTACGAGACTTCAAAATCCGATAGCAAGAAGCAGCAAAGAAGGTTAATTGATCTTGAACTTCCTGCTGAAGAATACATTAATGATGAAAAGGAAGGTCAAGGGGTTTGTGGATTGTTAGTGGGTAGTTATTTTCTTAGCAGGGACCATGAGATGAGATGGACATCCGTCCATTATTTTATTTTTAAAATTTTATTGATGGACGTCCATACAAGGTGGTTTAACTATTGTATCACCCCTCTTGGCATGCTTATATGAGACAAATGAAAATGAATGTAGTATTGGATGAAAATATATCAATAAAAATAGACACATAATGCAAGATCTTTAAAGTTTATTAGAGGTTAAATCAATTGCAACATTCACAATTTTATAGAATATACACAAGTTTTTTTCCAAAAAAGAAAAAGGTTAATTTGATTGGGACGTACCTACTTGATCATGTGTGTCGTATTTTCACTCATTATTCATCATTCTGCCGTGTCATACAACCATTTTCTGTTATACCTAACTTTGTGTCACACAATAATGTGTTTATACAAGATTAATCCAAAATAGCATAAACCTTTCGTATTATTTTATTCACATTAAGAACTAGTTATAATCTATAGGTCTAATTTAGAATTGGGTTTGGCTATAGGTTATAGTGACTTAAATTAAAATACGAACTCTTGACATTAATATATTGTAATCTTATGAATATGAGAAGAAAATTGGAGACAGTTTTACTTTTAAATCATTATACTGTAATGGATTAATGACAAAAAAATCAATATCAAAAGTCTAGCCAATTTTTTATATTGTATTGTTTATTTGTACATTAGGAAAAAAAAAAGTCATATGTCAACTTTAAATTAATGGATGGAGAAGTGTGTTCATGGATTTTGCAATTGGAGCTCATCCTCTTGTTTGTATTATCTTTGAAAGCATTTGGAGCCCCAAAAAATTGTTGAAATAAAGCAAGGTACAATTCTTCAAAAACAATGGGCTACCAATAAAGTAAGATCATTAGCTCTTTTGGAAAGAGATTTGAAATGTTAGACAAAAATAAATCGAAGAAAGATACAAGAATATATGNTTGACATTAATATATTGTAATCTTATGAATATGAGAAGAAAATTGGAGACAGTTTTACTTTTAAATCATTATACTGTAATGGATTAATGACAAAAAATAATATCAGAAGTCTAGCCAATTTTTTATATTGTATTGTTTATTTGTACATTAGGAAAAAAAAAAAGTCATGTGTTACCTTTAAATTAATGGATGGAGAAGTGTGTTCATGGATTTTGCAATTGGAGCTCATCCTCTTGTTTGTATTATCTTTGAAAGCATTTGGAGCCCCAAAAAATTATTGAAATAAAGCAAGGTACAATTCTTCAAAAACAATGGGCTACCAATAAAGTAAGATCACTAACTCTTTTGGAAAGAGATTTGAAATGTTAGACAAAAATAAATCGAAGAAAGATACAAGAATATATGCAAAATGTGAAAGAAATAAAAGAAGGGTTTATAACAATAACCCCACTAAGTTATTATTAACTACCTAAATCACCTTACAAAAATTCTCAGCTTTTATTGTTAAATTAAACGATAGAGTGATCATATAATAAAAATATTCATTAAACTATCATGTTATAAATTATTACCGTCAACTAACAGTTCACTAACAATAAAGGGGTTTTTTGTTATCTTTGAAATCTCAGAGGAATTTTTGTTATTTGATAAAACTTTTAAGTGATTGAGATCAAAACGCTGAGAAAGAAAGAAAAGCAAAGTTAATTGGCATATCTTTATATCACAATAATGAAAGAAAGGTGAAGGCTAAGAATATGAACATAACATAAACTATTTGAAGGTCATGTTTGGGTCCCTACCAAATTGTTTCTTTGTGAGGTAAAAGGTGCTCTACTGTCATATCAAATAGATTGCCTCCTCATTGTTTCTTTTTCATGCTCTCTCTATCTTTCATCATAATAATTCCCAATCTCAAACTCATTGATCATGGCACAGATTTCTGAAGCCTTCTAGATGCCTTCGTCACCCACCCGTGACACTTAATAAAAATGTTCGAATCTTTTCTGTTCTGCATTCTTCACACTGTTTACTAATTTTTAACTTCCGTATTTATTTGTACATTTCTTTTTTTATATATATTAAGTTTGAAGATTTGATTCAGTCACATCCATTTCAATATAAAAATAATTAACATATTTATCCTCTAATTAAAAGACAAAACATAGAGATAATATTTCTTTAAATCAATCACCAAATGACTTTAATATTTCTTTAATCCATACAACAAAGACAGACTCCACATTACATGAAATTAATATGAACCAAACCCAGTTTCATTTTATTTAATTCTTTTATTGTAAAAATAAAATTCTCAGTAACAGCAACAAGACCGGCTGTGAGAACAGACTGAGAAGCTGACACCTTCATTCAAGTTGGAGTAACACAAGGACAAACTGCCACGCCACCACAGACTTCCTCCGCCGCAGCGGCCGCCTCCTTCCAGCACCGTTCGGTCACTTTAGCAGGAGTGCGCACTGCGCACCCATCGTTCAACTTAGCAGCCGAGTAGTTCTTGTACACCACGCACCGGCCACCTGGCAGGCCTTGCTTCACCACGGTCTCACGTGTGTACCCCTCCACGTCAGCACACTCCATGGCCCACCACTGGGTGCCACTGTTACACGTGACGGCTACGGAGAAATCACGTGGATGGAAACAAGAGAGGACCTTCTTGACCAGCGGCTCGAATCTGACGAACCATGGGTCAAACCCCATGGCCTCATAGCTCGCGTAGCTGAACCCATCCTCTGGGGTCACGTGCACTGTGGAACAAGCTGCACCGTCAATTCCGTTCATAGAGTACCCACAGGGGTCAAACTCGAAGTCGCAGATCACGTGACTCGGAATAATCTCATTAATCCCGGACAGTTTCGTCATTTCACAGGCACCTCCAGCACCAGCCGAGTTTTTGAAAAACACGGCCGCTTTCTTCTTGTCCAAGCCAGTCATGCACATCTCGATAGTCACCACGTCATCCAACGACTTTTCCTTCGAAGCCGAGTAAATGTGCCAGTTACGATTATTAGAGTTGGGATCTCCGATTATTACATACGCCTTAACGTCGTTTAAGTAACTGAAGTACTCGTTCAAGGTGGAGACTTCTTCAGAGAAGCTACGATGAGGGGCAGGTTGGTAATTAGGGAAAATTAAGCTGCCACGCGAGTACTTAACGGAAAAAACACTAAGTGAGAGTGACTCAGTGAGTTTGAGAATCTGGGGGATCGAGTTAAGCAGTTTGGTCGTGCCACAAGTTTTTAGTATAATCTTTAGCGGGTAAACGAAGAGGCTCGACTCGGACAGAACGTAAGAGTCGAACTCAGAGTTGGAGAGATGAGAAACAATGGTGCATTGAGCGAGGTCGAGAATTGAGTCGAGTTGGGAACGAGTCAGAGCTCTGAGACCAAGCCCAGAAGGGTCGGTGAAAATGGAAGCAGGAGAGAATGTTATCTCTAAACGTTTTTCAAAACCTTCGAATCCGATTGGTGAAGGAGGAGAGAGGGGAGAGGAATCAATCGCCATGGCTGAGAATTTCTTTTCTTGGAACAATTTATTCTTTTAAATGATTTTTTTTTTTAATCAAAATTCGAAACTGAGAAGAACAACTGAAGAAGAAGGAAGTTGAGAACACAGAGAATGAGAAAAACCTACTCTACGGAAAAAGCCATGGTTTAGATAGGAGAATATCAGGATGGCTTCCTCAAGCACTGCAAATTAAACAAAGAAAAATTAACATAAGGGACAGAAAAATAAAAGAAAGAAAGAAAGAAGATTGAGAAAGTTTCGATTTTTACGTTGGAGTAAGCAGCGGAGCGGAACTTTTCGATGCCACCGTTAGGACGAACGTCTTCAATGCTGTAACCCAGGGGAGCTTCGTATTGGAGAGAACTGTTACTACTACTACTGGACTTCTTCTTCCCACCTTTGGTCTCCATTACAACATTCACGCTTCTGCTTAAACCCTAATACAGAACCAGAGATTTAAAAAAAATAATTAAAAAAAACACAGAAACAAATCAAGAAACCAACAAGAATCCAGTACGAGAAACCTCGAAAAAACTAATGGGTATTCTTCAGATCATCAAAAAGCTTAAGAAAATATATACTTACAATTCTTCTATAAATACTATTAAAAAACAGAATCTTTTTCTCTCTTGAAGACGAAGAATCTGGAAACAATGGAGGAAAAGGCGAGAGGGCGAGGGAGAGAAACGAGGAGACGGGTACTGAGCGGTGCGAGAATATGGGTTGTGTGAGAGTAGAAAGAGGGGGAAGGGGGAATTTATAGGAGGAGAACAAGAAGGGTGGAGAGTGGTGGTAGTGAAAAGAGGAGTGGCGTTAGGGAAATTTATTTTGGGTAGGAATTGAGGCTGGTATTGAGAGTACACGTGGCGGTTTTTTAGTGCTTTGATGGTGTGACTACCCTCGTTTTGTGGCCAAATGTGGGAATACTCACCACTGGGAGTGAGCTATTTTTGTCTCTCTCTTTTTTCCGCGCGTGATCGTCACTCTCTCTTAGAGCCACAGGCATGATAAATTAATTTTTTAAATATTGAAATAATGTTTTATAGATAATACAAGCTCATCTTTTAATATATTCTTGCATTTTTATTTACAAAATAACAAAAAATTCAATCTTTAGTGTCAACATTTGTCTTTAATGTTTTTTTATACATTTTTATCTTGATTTATCGTCATTCTCATAAAAAAAAAATTCTGTAGGTATCTTCGTTATAAGGAGTAATATTTAATTATTATTTTAGTGGATATTCAAGAAAGTATTATTTAATTGGCTTGTGCATAAAATATTGGTTCTTATTGTTTTATTGATTTTTTTTTTTTTAAAGATTTTTAATGTGAAAAGTGTGTGCAAATTCCTAGTAGCGCGTGAGAGAATCTATTTGGGAAATTGTCTGTTAAAGTGACCAGAAAGTGCATAAATTTTTATGAATCCGTTGTTATTATATGTGACATGTTATCAGGCTTAACGATACACAACCTCTTAAATCAATGATATTTTGCCACGTAACCAAATGATAACGGTAACATAAAAACTTCATGCCTCACTAGTTAAAAAGTGTCTTAAATCTTTGCCTTATGAAATTTTTTAAATAAATAAGCTAACATAAAAGGAAAAAAGTAATTATTGTAATTAAATGAATAAAGCAAATGAAATTAATTATCACATATAATAACTAAATGACAAGTAAAACTAAATATGTATAATTATGGAGTGGAAATAAATGGTTTTCATTAAAATTTATTACAAAATTTGCATCTATGAAAAATATTTTTGTAGATAATTCAGAAAATTCTTTGATTGATAAAAAAATTAGGTTGGGTTTGATTTATGATTTAAAAATAAATTTCAAAAGCTAAAATATTTTTCAATTTTTCAATTTATTACAATATTTTTGTTATTTGAAAACGTGGTTGATATTATATTTACAAATTGTTTTCACATTAAAAAATTCTAGTAAACTTTGAACACAACTTTTAATCGTTTTTTAATTCTATACTAATTTTAGGATTGTATTAAAAAATGGTATTTAAAAAAAACTCAAATTTTAATAAGATCTATTTTACCTAGACCTGGCAATCACCCACCTGTACCCGCGAGTAAACCGGTACTTGTATCCAATGGGTGGGTATAGGTAACACATAAGTCGACCCGTGGAAATTTGACCAATACCCGACCCGTCCGTGATATTTACGGGTGGACCGGGTAATACCCGCGGACCCGCAATTTGAAATTTAAAAAATAAAATAAAATATTCTAAAAAGTAAAAACTAAAGAAAACAAAACCAAAACCCTAATCTAAGTGAAAACTTATCACTGAAAAAAGACAAAAAAAAGCAGCTTCACTCCTCTCACAACAGCTCCACTCCCTCACTCTCTCACTCTCACAACAGCTCCACTCCCTCACTTTCTCACTCTCACAGTAGCTCCACTCCCTCACTCTCTCCCTTCTCTCACGGTAGCAGCAGCAACACAACAGTTAATTCTCTTCTCTCACGGCAACAGCAAGTCTCTTCTCTCATGCAGCAGCAAGTCAACAGCACTCATCTCAGTCAACTCTCTTCTCTTACGGTAGCAGCAATTTGAATACAGAAAAACAAGGGAAAATACAGAAAATTCCATTTTCCACGGGTGACCCATACCCGCACGGGCTGGTACGGGTCATATATATATCGACCTATTAGAAAATTTTACCCGCGAACCCGTACCTGTTGCTACCCGGACCATTCCCACCCGACCCGCCCGTTTGCCAGGTCTAATTTTACCCTTATTTTCAAAAACAAAAAATTGTATTTAAATTTGATATCAAACCGATTTTTTTTCTTTATTATTCTAACAATTTAAATTTTATATCAAATGGGTTTTTTTATTTATCATTCTAATAAAATAGGATTAGTTTCAGTTGGACATATTTAATCCTCCACGTCATTATTGCTTAGTAAAATCTAATTAATTAATAATTCCAAGAGATTTGCCATAAATGTCAATGGAAAGTAATTTAATTTTAATGAGAAATATAAAGCATGTAATTAATGCACCCTAATATTTATTTTTAAAATGTGAACACGAGTAACACAAGCCCCTACCCCTATCTTTCAAATAATTGTAGGTTGACATAATAAAAAATTTAATATTAAATCTCAAAATTAGTTAATTAATTTCAAATTTTAAGTTTGATAACAAAAAAACAAAAAATTGAATATCATAGGAGCTTTTCAATAATGTAATGAAAGAAAAAAACGAAAAATAAATATATCAAATGTATATCACTAATATGATTTCTTTTGTCATTATTCAATTCTTGTTCTTCACCAACTATCATTTGAAGGTTGTAGCCGACAATAAAAGACAAATTTTCATCATTTTTAATTAAAAAAGATATATTGTTATCATTAACCATATAGTGAAGAGATTCACATTTAAAATAATAAATGAATGGGTAAAAAATCATATTGGATCCCAATAATGAAATAAACTATCCATGGTCGAGGCACAATCCCTGTTGGGCTCACACTTAAATCCTTATTGTCGATTGACCGTTCAGTGAGAAAGAAAGTTCATTCTATGAGTCAGCTCATTCTACGAGCTATTCCATACCACGGTCAACCATCTCCACAAGCTAAGCTATTTTATGAGTTAAATTACTCTACAATCAAGGTCAGTCTACGAATTGGATCAACTTATGTTTTGGGCCACTCAACGAGTTAGACATTTCTATAAGTTAAGTTAAATTGGGCTCCAACCTATTAGCTCGTATTCATTGCAAAATAGGACTCAAAGCCCTACTTACTTACTAATTCATCTAAGATTCATAATATTACATAAACTAGAGTTTCTACTTCTACATAAATAAACATTACGATTTTCCTATTTACTGCTGTGGGTTGTCTGTCGATCCCCTTGTTATGGATGGACAGACACCCAAGCAGTAAGAATCGTCACTATTTCCTCGTCGTAAAACTTAGTTTTAACTAACTTTACTTATAGTAGCCACCGTAAGCCTTGCTCAGGCCACTTTACAATAGTCTTGCCATAGCCAAACACTTTCGATAAAACCATTTCTCTTTCTCAGCCTTTACTAAATATTCCCTTTAACCGTGTTAACTTGAGCGTCAAAGTATTGTCTTTGCGTTCATTTTTTTTGTCCCTATAGGTTTGCTCGATTGTCAATGACCCATTCCTCACATAATCAATATTGTTCGATTTAACTGTAGATTTTATCGTCTACAATAAATAAATAAACTTTCATTTATAATACGAACATCGTGACAAGATGAACTGGACACGATAAAAATTATTTACTATTCTCACTCTCGTCTTTGCTTTGTCCTTGCTCATGAAAGCTAATAATACGTTATTTTATTATCAAGATTTGATCTCAAGACGATCTTCATTATAAAATTCAACATATTCTCAAAAGATCCACAAACTTTATATTATATAAAGGTAACTAAGCCACTCTCCTTGTGCTATAAAAGGAAACAAAAAGAGAATTAAATTAAGCATTAATACTTGTTTTGTTCCCCTTCAATAATAATATTAATTTATTTTTGTCACTAATTTAGGGTTTTGGATTTATCTAATTATTATATTTCCATAACATGTTGTTTGATTATTTATAATTTAATTTTGTCTTATTGAAGAGTCAAAATGGGTATTTTTTTATTTATTTTTTCATTTTTTATATTATGCTCATTGATCAAGAAATAATCCATCCAATGACGTTTAATTTTGTACCAATAATTGTGTTGAGTTTGCCAAATATTTAATGTATTTTTTTGGTTTGGCATGATTTGTAGGCTTTATGGCATCCACTTGGGCTTGGGCTGGGCACATACTCAGCACCCACTAAATTATTTTTTATGAATATAAAGGGAGCACCACATTTTCCCACCCAAGGTTTGGCAAATAACACTTTCCCACCTATCAAGTTTCAAAATGACACTTTCCCACCCATTGTTATATTCCGTTAGGAAAACCTGTTATGAAAAAGGGTAGGATGGTCAATTTATATTAAAGCCTACCCATTATACTTACTACATAGTACATCTTATGTTCCTAACGCCAGACCCAAACATCTCCCTGTCACTCCTACAGAATTGGAAGCAAAAAACACATTCGATAGCCCCAGTTTCTTGGGCTAACGTATGCACATTACACAAAAAATTCAAAACCCTCATATATAAACGACATAATAATCCCTTCTCAATCAAAAAAATCAATGGCTTAGCTTTATGCAGGCTAGTTATTATAGAGGAGACGTAGCTCCACTATAAGGAACACAAGGTTATCACGTTTGCTCATACTAATGCTCGTCTTGTTAACAATGGTCTTGCTACTTCAATCCAAAGGCTTCGTTGCTGCGCAATGTATCAGGTTCTCGCCTTCTCAAATTGAATTGTAGAGCTTGGAAACATATTGGTTGAAAGACTTAAAAGAATATGTTCTCCTTATATTGCTTTTTATTTGAGGTATTTAATAGTATCTTGCTAATTACAAGTTTGATTTTTATATACTTTTGGTCGTTTAATCTAGCTAACTAGGAAGTGTAAAATTTGCATACATGAACAAGACATGCTTTCTTGTACAGGCTGCAGTTACAATCTTAAAGAAACGAAGATGAGGAGCTGCAAACATTAAGATATAATACTCAACATTGGAAGGACAAAGAGATCAAGAACACAAACAGAAGGCTCAACAGGGTATGCCCCATGACCCCTACAGACGT